TTCAATTTTCACCAACCAGCTGGGACTCCAGGACAGCCTATGAAATCCAGGAGTGTCCTGGCCAAACTGAAACATGTGTCACCCTATGCAGAAGCAACTGGTAAGATTTTAATGGCTTTATAATAATGAGGCAGAAAATATTCACAAACACAACAGATCTTAACAGAAAAGCTTTGCAGAAGGACTTGTATTTCATATTTATACAAAGGCAGTCAGTTACAAAAGTGTGCAGAGGAATGTAATGTTCTTTAAACACTTATTAAATACAAAGGTAATCGGAAACCTTCTTTCTGTGTTGTGTGCCATTGGCTATACAAACTAACTTTAAACTGTAACTCTGAGCATAAGAAAATTAGAAACCTGTACCCACCCTTTTGAGCAAGTCCTTTAAAATGGGAACAAATGCCCCCACAGGCAGAGCAGATGTAGTCCAACACCGGCTTTCTAGGTTGTAATAATGTAAGGTGACCGTAGTTGTGTCCAGCCAAAAATACATGAAAAAATCAGCAGAAAATGCTTCTCCCAAGAAAAGGAAAGGGTGAACCTTCCTTTTTTGAAGTTGCACAGTTGTACCTCTTGATGTCAGTTGTCCAAGAGAGGAAAAAAAAAAATATTAAGTGGCTAAAACTTTTGTTTTTTCTTAATCTGGTTGCCATGCTGAGTGACTGACTGCTAGACTGGTAGCATTCTAGGTGACTAGAATAGCAGCCTGTCTCCCTTCAGAGTGGCTGCAGGCAATCTGGCAGCAATCACTGCTACCTTTTAATTTTTCTAGTTATTTTGAGACATCTTTCAGCTGTCTCAAAGCGTGGCTTGAAATTTTGAACGGGGAAAGAGGGTTGTTAGGCCAAACAGCATTATGAGGAAGCGTGAATTTAGCACCCAGTGGATGACTATACACCACCCCTTTTTGCTGTGGCTGTCACCCCAATTGCCAACTCTGACAGTATTTTTCACAAAAGGGTAAATAACTTTTAGTTAAATATTGCTTATTTCTTCTGATGATTCTTTCTTTCAGTAGAATGTCAGGGCCTTTATTTAAATGAAGAATATTCACATCTTCATGTTCCCATTTTAAATTAAAACAAAGCCAACTTTTTAAAGCTATTCAAAGCTGTTTCACAGGCTTGATTAGTTTGAATTAGGGTTTGTGTAATGCCAAATGCCTCATTTTATAGTTGATGCATAAAGGTCTGGCTGCATGAGCCTGCAGTAGCTGGATCTGATTTTGTTACTTATTAAGTGTTTGTTTAGTTTAAATACATGTCTGTGTTGGGTTTTTTTCTGATCAACCTGAAGAATTTGCATGCTATGCAGCAGCCATCTTCTATACTTTATTAAATATCTGTCAATTATAAATATCAAGGTTTTACATTAATGTCAAGATAGTACATCAAAAATTCATGGAATATGTGACTTTTTCCAAGGGTATTTAATACTTAATGCATTTGTGTCATTTTTCTTTCTAGATATATTGACAGGTTTTATTAAGTGTTTGTTAGGGAGATTTCATTTTTACCAAGGGACTATAAAGAGAAGCTGCATGCTAAATCAATTTTTTAATCAGAATATTGTTCTTTTTTTGTCTTGTGATCTATAGAGTTGGTTTTAAATTATATTCTAAAATAGTTTAGGGCAGAAATTTAATATGACCAGATATGCTGACTAAGTATATTTTAACTACTTTAAAATAGTTACTGGGATATTGTGTTGTGGAAAGTGTTATAAATATGGTAACTGTGTATTTATAATTTTATTCAGTCTTGCATATTTTACTATGAGACAATATCATCTTGCCCTTTGCCTGTATAAAATAAGTTGAACTATATTAAGAAACAGTGGTCTATAATCTCAACAAATGAGGAGGAACATTGGGAGTTTAATGGAATATAGAGCCTTCACATATACATCACATGTTGAAATGAGAACTCCTTTTTATAGTTACTGGAAGTTGCTGCTGCTTTATGGTGGTTCAGCTGCCTGTGTGAAATGAGTCAGTGGCTTCAGTGCAGTTCATTGTTGTCAAAATTCTGTCAGGCAAACTACTCCAGCAAAATTTAATACTAATTTTCACTTGGGGTAAAGTTGAAGTACTCTCTTGTTGTCAGTATAGTTGCTCATTCTAGGTTCTCATTCAGGCACACTGGCATAGTTGCTTTCTGTGTAATAAATGTACATAAATTGCATGTACTTTAGTGTGTTCAATTAATGTCTGAGGGCACATTTTTTCACTTAAAAAAATTTGAACAATCTAACTTTCTGTTAAGCATTTTAACGTCTTAGTATCTTCTGACAATTGAAAACTCTGCTGTTTTAATACTGTTATTCATGCTATTCATAGATGTTGTTAGATGTTAGGGTTGGAAGAGACCTCAATAGATCATCGAGTCAGACCCCCTATCTGGCACTTGTTTTGGTGGGAATAGAAGTCTCTCATAAGAATTGGGTATACAGGTTTCCCTTGCTTTATGCTATACATGTGTTCCTGGAAAATGGTGACTAACTTGAATTTGCATAAAGGGAACCCACTTTACACTCTAACAAATAGGGATACGTTCCAAGACCTCACCTACTGACCCCCAGACCATTTCTACCACTTTTACAAGACAATTTTGGTACTCATCAACAGCAGACAGTACACACAGGCACAGGGCACTATCGTAATGGGGATGACAACTACAGAAACACGTGTCACAGACAACGAGTGAGGAGCACAGACCCACACAGGAGACTATATTTTGGTGCGTGTCACTCCCGTGGGAGTGGGCTGACTGCGGGCTTCCACCACCCCGATCACATAAAAGTGAATTTACCTTGCATATAATGAATTTTTAGTATAAAAAGGGTCATCGCATAAGAGCGAATTCACATGTACAGAACCCACATAAAGCAAGGGAAACATATACAAGGAGGACAAATGCTTTCTATTGATTTTACAGTAGCATCTACTTAAGTTAATTCTTAAATCCTTAAAGATGAGGACTTTAGTCCCTTTGACAATCATTGTAATGTAAAAAAGCTTCATTTTCATTCAGAAGTAAGGCATTGTGATTTGAAGAAGGAAAGTTTGGAAGGATGCTTGCCTTGCATGGCTGTGATGTGACTTCCACTCAAGTTCACATGGAAAAAATCTAATAATTGCGTTTGTAGCATTGGTGACTACTCTGCTTCAGTACCAGTAGGTGGCATCAGTGCTACACTTACAGTATCTTGCCCAGTGAATCTGAAACACAAAACTGAAGCTAACATCAATATGACAGTTGTTGAAAAAGTATGTGCTTTGCAAAAGCAAAATTCTTTGTGCAACCAGGAAACACAATTTTGTGAGCAGTTGAGAAGGGAGGACTTGTTTCTAGATAGCTTAAATATATATGGATTGAATATAAAGGGAAAATAATTAATCAGAAGTTTTGAGGAGTTTCTCCGTTCATAGACATTTTTCTTTAATCTCTCCAGGCACAGAATAAGTTTTAGGACTTTGATAATTAATAGTTAGTAATAGAACAAGACATGACTTTTCTAAGGCAATACTTTTAAAATGAAACTTTTACTTGGTTAATATCTTTAATCCACTTGTGAATAACAGCTTTCTTGGATGCTTAGTTCATTATACCAATTTTAATTTTTTTAAGACTCTCTCTTAGTAATCAAAATGGAAATTAAGTTGCCATAAAGGATAATATAATTTGGGCGCTGTAGAATTGTAAACAAACATATATCATTTCAATTGTTACAATATGCTAACTCTGGTATTGGCTGACTGGATATAACGTGTCTCCTGAAGTATGCTGCTTGTGATTAAATATTGTGTTAGTGCTTTTCTCAGGAAAAAGTCATTTTTTGTAAAATATCCAGTTAAGTTGGAATCTGCAACGCAATATCCACATTGTTCAATGTCCACAAAAATCCCACTCAAATGTGGAATTTAACAATAGGATTTTTTTTTAATTTTAACTTTTTTCCCTTAAAAGTATTACCCATTTCAGAGAGAGTCCATCCGAAGGGTTAACTATAGGGATTGGGGCGAGCAGACACCTGGGACCTAACACCCAATTGGCAGTCTTTTGTAATATATAATTTGCCTAAAATTGCGCACTGAGCATAAGCTTTTGTTTTCTAATTGATTTACGGTTTGAGCCACTTTTACCTCATCCCCTACTGTCCTGCACACAGTGCCAGAAAGTACATTACAGTGAGAGATGATAAATTACCATGCACTTGTGATGCTAATGCATCAAGAGTAAAAACTGCATACTACATGGAGCTTCATGCATTAACACTGTTGCAAAGATACAGCCAAGCAAAAATTCATTTGTATCTTTAGAAATAACCATTTGTTCATTTGATCACTTACTGCAATCTGCCCATCACACTTAATTGAAATTGAAGATTAAAATTATGCTGTTATAGTTTTCCATTTGTTAATTGGAACAAAGTTTTGAAGTCTCTTGAGAGCCAGATTTCTAGAATGTTTATGCTAGATTAAATCTACTGTATTTTGGATGTTTCTGAAAGAAATTGTACAATCTTTCTTCACTTGTACAATGAGTTCAATGCAGCAAGCAACTAATATGTGCAAGTCACCAAAAAAAATTAGTAGTTGAGATTTCTGAAGTGTAGTATAATCTCTGCAAATAAACCTTTTATGTGAGGGAAGGCAGATTTAGAAATTCATCCTACATATGCGAAATACAGATTTAAGAGGAATTGTAAAATTTGGTGAAACCTAATGTATTTTTGTCTTAGGTTTTCTGTGGTTGATTTTTCTACCTTCTCGGAGTCAGTCTACCTTAAATTTTTATTTTTGTGTGGTGTCTGTGGGTTCCAGTCTTGAAATATGAAGAAACAGATTTATGGCGGCTGCTGGGCACAACAAATTAAGTTGACAGTGATGTATGAGAGCATAATAGCATGATGATCCCTCTGTAGCGCGGCTGGACGCCTCCTGCTTCATTTGGCTCTTGTTAGGATCTGTTAGGCAGCTAAATAATGAAATTCTGCAGACTGATTTCTGATTTTTTTTTTTTCTCTTTTCACTTCTTCTTTTTTTCTTTTTTTTTTTTTTAACTTCTATTTTCCAGACCCATCCTAATGCCAGCAAACTGCCTTTAAAGGATTCTTTCACTTATGATGACTACAGGTTGGTTTGCAATTTTTTAAGTGAATCTTGAGGTCCTGAAAACTGAGATGCTTTGTTGGGTATATGTGGGGGAACCCTACTGTTACCATTTAAAATATCTATGTATATCATATTGCTATACTTTTTTTGAGAAATGCCAAAAGGCACAGTGAATAAGTGTGCATGTTTTAATAGTTGCAAAGAAATCTGTTGTGGGGAAAAATAGTTAATTTAAGCAAATGGAACATAAGAGCCTCATGTGCAGTTTGGATAGTTTTTAAATAAAGTGTATTCATCCACAGTGTAGGAACATTTTTACCAATGGCTTTGTGCACATATTTCCCAAAAGGTAGTACAGTATGTACAGTTATAGTTGGTATGAGATCTGGAGAACTTGTGCTGTACATGTGAAGTCTGAGTATCTCTTGGAGGTGTCAGATATTGTGGGGTTGAGGTGAGGTTCAAGGTACTTGACTTGAATTAAATGGTAATATACCATGAATAATAAAGATTCACGAACTCTCCCAGAGACCTTGTATTCCTTTTGTGTTTTAGTCACTACTTTGGGATGTTGTGTCCACAGTATGCCTCTTCCAGTGGGGAGAGGCCAATTTAAGTGCCAGGTTGATCAAAATACGAGTAATAAAGTGTACAGAAGTAATTTACCTTCAGTTTTCTAGTTCCTCAGACTGTTTTTATGGTGCAGTTAGTTGACTAAAGTACTACGTAGAAAATTCTGATATTTTTGTGTTATATAGGAAATGCACAGCGTAAAAAATGTTTAAGTGGAGATCTGAATGCTGCTTTTTCACGAGGAGGAAACTTCTCATGTTCATCATTCTAAACCAGGAGCGGGCAATTATTTTGGGCACAGGGCCGCTTACTGAGTTTCAGTAAGCCATCGAGGGCTGCATGACAGGCAGCTCAGGGCAGATTAATATGAATTTTCTAAATCTTTTAGGGGCCCCGCGGGCCAGATAGAATGGCCTGGCGGGCCGCATTTTGCCCACCCCTGTTCTAACCATTGTTTTAGACTGGATTGCATCTTTTCAGCTGGCCAGGTTTAAATAATGACATCTTGAAGTTTGTGTTCTTTGCAGATGGGCGGTTTCCTCTGTTATGACACGACAAAATCAGATACCAACTGAAGATGGTTCTCGAGTTACCCTGGCTCTGATTCCTTTATGGGACATGTGTAATCATACCAATGGTCTGGTAAGGATTTTTTTGGTGTGATTAGGAAATAATATAACTTTAATATACTAAGGAATTTCAGTAGTGTATTTTAATGATGCTTTTCATTATGGTTCTTTAAAATTGGGCTTCCATCTTCTCATCTGACATTCTAAAGAAATCTAATAATTTAAAGTTCTTGATATAGCAGTTTCACTTCCTCATGATCAAGTGGCTTTTAGATCTAATTGTAAACAAGGTATAGTTACTTTTTCTTAAGTAACTTTAACAAGTAAATAGCTTTGAGAGAATTATCACTTATGGGAGACGACTTCTTTCCTGTCAAATTTGAGTATTTCTCATTTTCATGGATACAAAATTTTGTTTCTGGTAATTCTGCCCATGGTATCCACAAGACTAGATGCATTTTATATTGAGAATACAAAAACAGATTGATGGAGGGTTGTCTCTCAAAGCCACTCTGCCCTGGGTACCACCAGGGAAGGAGGATAGAAATTTGAAGCTTAGCAGTGCTACCTGCTCTCTAACCATGCCCAGAGAGCCTTGTTATGGAGGTAGCAATGACAAGAGCAGAGCATACTTCAACAAAATCGGTTTATCTGTTAGCACATCAAAGAAAAAAAGCTAAAATACGACTTTAGGGCATATTAAACATTTAAAAGGTGATGTGTATATAGAAAGTCAGACCTACTGACATATTTGTGTCTCATGAATTTTTACCAGCTTATAGAGGATCATGTCTCAGCTTCGTGAAATGGTTGGTTAATGCATGAATTGAGGAAAATGGAAGTCCACAAAAGGATAGTCTACCAGCAGTTAGTTGATCATAAAGCTTCTGTCTGCTAAAGAATGTATACTTGATTTTGCATTATTAGTGGGTTGAATAACTTGATGTAAACAGCAGTAAATGTGACTTGGTCTTCTCTATTCACGTAATAAAGTCGTGGTAAGAAAGTGTAGATCTGGGTGACAGGACAGTGTATTGGCATAAGTAGAACCTAGGTAAGCAGGTTATAGTACTGGTTTGCATATCTCTGTTACCTTAATATTACTGCAACATAAGCTAATGTTGTAGCCATGATGGTCCAGGAAGAATGCAAGAAAGGGTACAATGATACCTGAAAACATGTCTGTCCTTTCCAGCTAGACAGTTGGTCAAGTAAAAGGTGTCTCCCACAAACTTCCTTGCCTCTGTCAACCAGCCATTTGAGAATCTGGGCAGGTGAAACATCTATCCCACTTTTAAACCTGGGTGGGGGGGAGGCTTACTGCATTGTATCTTATTGCAGTAAACTTCTAGGCTGCCTTCTGTGAAGCCATCCTGTGGAACCTAAAGCTGTCAGAGAGTGGAAGGTGTCTCAGCAATATTTTTGTCTTTTAAGAAATTTACCCTAGAGAGAGGGGAGAGAGAGAATACATTAAAACGTAGACAACGAAGGTAGTATGCATACACAGTCATTTTCACTTTTTTACTGTTTCCCACAGGATCTAGTTCAAAAGTGGTATAGAGGGGCTGAATTTTGTTAACCATTGACAAAAAAAAAAAAAAAAAAAAGCTGTCCATTGTTAACTTTCTTTTCATTAAAAATGTAGACTGCTTAAATAACCAGCAGAAGGAAAAAATATATTCGCAAAGCTTACTCTTACACCTCTATTTTGTATTTTTATAATAGACATGAGTAGATCTTAACCTCTTTGCTCTGATTATGGTCCATCCTGATAAAAAAGCATTAAGTGAATATTTGACTCACTTGTGTGAAAGTAAGGAAAAAGATGGATTTTCATCCTCCATTGTCTGTTCCAAAGACGGTACTGAAATGCCACTTCAGTCAATCAGCTATAATATCCCTATTCTTGCTCTATCCCACAGTTCTCTTTTCTACCAGCTTGATAATGAAATGCTTTTTCGGGGTATTTTTTTGGAGTTAGGTCCATCCAGCTTTTTCGTGCTTCTGACACTACTAATTAGATCAGCCTGCATCTAAGAACTATGTCAAAATGGTTGTCTTCATGCATTTCTCATTGTTATTCTTTAGTGGGATTGTATTTTGACAGTCAGAGGTTGATTACTGGTACTGCCAGAGCTTTAAATGAATAAGCTTAGTTTTGCCTGTTGGAATGAGACCATCGGTATCACTAACCAAGCAACTTGGTTACTTGGTCACTACTTGGGTGTTCTGCACAAAACTTAAAATTCACTAACTGACTTGCTTCAGCAGTAAAACATAAAAGAGCCAACTTATCATCTATCTTCTGGAGAAGGAAGCAGCTTAGTTCTTGTTTTGTCTTTTCTTTCCTTCATGTAAATTAGTCTAGCACTATATTGGACTTTGCTGGGCATTCTATTTGGAAAAACTATTTTTAAAGATTGGCAGTTTGGGGAAACACATTACAGCTTCCCCCAAGACAGACTCCTTCTGCCAGAATCCAGGTATTCCCTCTAATGTTTCAAATTTTTCCCTTGCAGTAGTCTTATAGGAGACTGACTATGAGGGCACATCCAGACGAGTGCACACATGCAGTGGCATCCCATGGGTGTGCAGTGCCTGGGGGCCAATGCTGCATTTGCGTGTCCCCCTCCTCCCAGGACGATCCGAGCAGAGTGCAGGTCCCAAGGCAAATCAGCTTGTGCAGGACGTCAGCTCCCACCCCACGGCTCTTCTGTGGGTCAGTTAGCAGTGCAGCACACCAGATGCGGGGGGGAGGGGCGGCTCCTGGAATTTCCGGCCAGAACAGCAAAAGAAGCCCACAACACGTTGGGTGGGTGGCTGGGCCACGCACAAAATGCGGGAGGCACCTTGGCTTCTCTGGCCACCACACCACCCCCCTCCGTCAGTACGCCACTGCCCATGTGCCTCTTGCAGCATCCCAAGCCAGTTTGAGATGGCGTAGGAGGCATGATGTGAAGGAAAAAGTGTTCCATGTGCTGCATATTTGCAGCGCGTGCTCAAAATTTGATACCTGAAGTTCAGGTGTCCAAAAATACCCCGGGGGGGAAAAAGTGGGGTAGGGCATGGTCCTGGACTATGCCCGTCTTCCAGAGGGACACTCTGATTTCTGGCCAGAGAGTCTGTATGGTGCTTCTGCTACCCCAGTTATGTATATAGTGGGTTTTTGTTCTAATTGTGGAAGAACATGGATTTTGGGGTATTTTAAAGAGTGAATTTGGGATGCTGCCTCTGCAGTCCAGCTGGCACAAGGGGTAGTGTTCCTAGATACCAATTGGCCAGGCCCCAGAAGATCCTGAGAGCGAGTAGCCCTGAGCTGCTTGCCAAGGCAGCTTTTTTTTTTTTTTTTTTTTTTTATACTGGTGGGACCAGTGCAGGTGCTGGCCCCAGGCTCTAGCTCCCCCTGGCTGAAAATCCAGGAGGAGCTGGGCAGGGTTATTTTGCCCCAAGTGATACAACTTGCCCCACACCAAAGTGTATGTCCTGGCATGTGAGCTGAGGCAAAAATTCCCTGCTCAAATTTGTGTTGCTCCTATATGAGCTGCTGTAAGTGCACGTGCCTGCATGTGTGCATGTGCCCTAAGGGTTTTTTCGGAGTTCAAAAACATTTCTTGTGCCTGTGCAGTAACTAAAGAAATCGTAAAACATCTCAAGCACTTAAGAAGTTACCAAAAATTCATTTCTGTGGTTGGAAGACTTTTTTTTTTTTAAGTGCGGTCACTGAAATTGGGATAAACAACCAGAGAAACAGGTTACAGGGGAGTGGGTAAAGTGTGGGGTCATTTAGAACTTGGAGGCTTTATTTCTTTCTTAACTTTAATACCAATCCAGGGTGGTATAGTAGAATCTCTGGGTAAAGTGCTGCAGTCTGTGTTAAGCAGGAATTCAGACTGGATGATCATAATGGGCCCTGTGGGTCTTCAAAGATCACAGATTGACTTAGGTCTTAAACAGTGGCATTCATATCCAGTGCCATTTTATAAGTGTAAAGTGAACTCCTATTGCTCTAGCTCATGGCTGCCATTCTGGATTTCTTCTGTCTGAGAAGAATTTCTTGTGGTAACTTTGAAAGAATAGTTTTGGCTTACAGATGCATATTTGAATATGTGAGCAAAGTAAAGCCACCACCTAAGCTTTCAAAGTAGCCCAAAGGGTTCTGTCCTCAGACAAAGCAAATCCAAGATGGCAGATGACAGTCATGATATAGTACCCCTGTTCAGACCTAATCTCTGTAGCAGAAAACAAAGTTCTTGCAGTGCTCTGTGTGAGAGCCTTGTTACACATTCATTTTGGGAGCCACTGGGAGCTTTTAACCCCTGGATTGTCCACACAACATCTGGAACTAGTTTTAAGCACGTTTTTGGTTCCCTAAAGTTATGCCAATCCTTGGCAGGTTTATCTTTGATCCGTGTTGCCCAACTTGTGTTCTATTAACGTGTGGCCACTCCCACCCAAGTTGTAGTCTTCCTGCATCCCAGGACGCAATGTCCCTTTCCCTACCTCCTGTTTTGTGTGGACAAACTTTCCACCCCTGAACTCTACTGGCCAGGGGGCAGTTCTGGCACCAAGCCAACTCCCCCTCCTGCTCCCTGGGATGTACCTTCCCACCCTAGAGATGCAGCAGAGCACATGCCAGCTAACCAAGTTACAGGGCATGGATGGGTCCAGGAGTGGGATTTGGGGGGCAGGGGACTGGATTGGTTCCCAATGAGCTGGGGCTTCCTTCCCAAGGCAGGAGCAGTTGTTGGCTACAATGCACCAACTCACTATAAAATTTAGTTTATAGTTTATTGGACGGATGCAAAAGTCAGACCATAGACTGTGGTGCTGATCCACCCACACGCGCGCACACATGCACACACGCTAGCTCTGAACACTAAGCACTGGTATCAAGCTAGACCTATCCCCAAGCACTGGAATCTACCGTCGATGGCCAGTCGAGGCTTCTTTCAGTGCAATGTTGCTTCACAAGGGGGTCGCCAGCTGCTCCTTCCGGCTGGACAGGCAGGGTGCTGGTTGGGTCAAGAGGGCGCCCTTGGGGGTCATTCTTCGCTGCCTTTTATACCTCTCTGGCAGACTTTAGTGACTCCCCAATTCTCAGGCTTACCCAATCCAGGGGCTGTTGACCTTGAGGGACGTCCCTCTTGGTACCTGCTGGATGGCAGCTGTCAGCCCCAGGGGTCACGTCTGCAGGTACGTGCAGTCTCAGGAGTCCGTTGATGAATTTTGATAGATTCACTGCCATGATGAATAGAGCTCTGGAAGTGGTTGATCAGGGGATATTTCAGCCCCAAGGGTCTGTTTCCAGCGTTGATTAGTGCAAACAGGGGCTTCCATACCTTTTAATGATGAAGTTTCCGGGAATACCTGGCTCTTTATTGATTCTTTCCTCTCCTTGGTCTCTGATTTTGTAGGTGTTAATTGCCGCTCATTAACATGCTTATCCAGACTAGCTACTGTGTTACACAATCAACCATGATTCTTTCAGGGACCTGCTTCATACAGAGATTCCTGCTCTTGCTAACATTGTTACATGGTACAATTGACTTTTAAACTTAAAGTACATCTGTGAAAGCATCTACAAGCTCTATTTTCACTACAAGTACACCTTATGTAAAAATAATAATAATAAAAGAAAGAGAGAGAGGAAGGAAGAAAAGGTAGAAAAGAGAGAACATCCCCAAAAGAGGGCAAATACTAAAAGAGGGGCTTTGGCCATATGAAGAAGCTTCACATTTTGGGGCGGGGGAAGACAAGAGAGTTTCTTGCTACACAGTAGCTCCCCTAAAAGCACCTTCCATCACTGCTTCCACCTCTCAGCCACCCTGAGAAGCATAACCAGCACTTTCCCACACTAAAATGTCAGATCCCACTTTGTTAAAACATGAGACCTTTTTAAATTAACTTCCTTATTTCTTTTTAAATTCTTTTTTAATATACAGTATAACCTCATAAATCCAGCATGCTCAGGACTGAGCACCTGCCAGAAATTTGAAAATTCCATTTTTTTGAAAATGGAGCAGCAGCCGGGGGGGGAGAGGGGGAGTAGCAGTGGCCAGTCCCAGAGCAGTGGCTGCACACGGAGTGGGGTGGTGGATGGCAGTGGCAGCCGCCATGTGCAAGCTTCCAGGGAGCAGAGAGGAAAGCTTAAAAAGTGCTGGATTTTTGAGAATTCAGTTTTTGAGATCCGGATTTATGAGGTTAATACTGTATATGTTTTTATCTTATCCTTCATTTCCCTACCCTTCCCCTATGTCCATTTCCTTTTTACTTCCCAGTTCATTTATCCACCCCTGTCCCATTAACTCTCCGCCTCCCAGTTTCATGCCCCTCTTCCCCTCCCCTCAGCCCCCCATCTCACACCCACCCACCTAGAGCAGGGACAGAAGCCTGTCCTGGCTTGCCTGTCCTGTAGTGACAACTCACACTCCTCCTCAGGGCCCTACTTGCCCAGCCCTCTAATGGCAAGTCACAGCTGTGCAAGTGGGGGGACAGTCGGAGAAGGTTTTTAGCCTGAGGCAGTAGTTTTCAACCTGTGGTTTGCAGACCCGTGGGGGTTTACAGACTGCCTTAAAGGGTCCATGAAAGACGACTATGATCAGTCAAAAGTATGTTAATACCCATACTTACAATTCAAAGGGGTCCTTACCTCTATTTGAAATGTTTTAGGGGTCCACAAGTGAAAAAGGTTGGAAACCACTGCCTTACAGTGTGACTGCTCCAAATTGGAGCTAACACTAACACTGATCAACATTTGAACAGCTCAAAGTGCAACTGTACCAAGACCCTTTAAGAGAATGTGTGACTCTGCAGTTTGTCCCTCTGGTCAATGGACTATTTTACTACAGTGTAACTGTGTAAAAATTAAATTCAGAAAAGTTAGAGAAGTTGCTCCCTGATTGCCCAATTATTGCATACCTTTTTTTCTGTCCAGATCCCTTTAGCTCTTACGATTAGTACGGGTTCCTTGTTGTATGGGATTATTCAAGTGTGTAATTATAACAACATAATTTTTGTTTAAAAGTTTTAGGATGACTTTACTTGCTAGTGAGCACATTTAGTTTTGTGACTTTTTTTTCTTTTTGAAAAGGATTTTATTCCAAAGACAATAAGGAGTACTTTTTCCCTCCTCTGCTGTATGCTTTTACAGAAAAAATCCCTTCAGTTTCTAAGATTAATTACTTAACTTCAGATAAAGGGAATTATTTGCAAGTAAATTGGAGTTCTCTGAAGATGGTATTCCCTAAAGAGTCATAGTTACTCCTTTTTCATTGAGAGAGAGAGAGAGAGAGAGAGAGAGAGAGATAAAAAATGCACTGATATTTGAAAGATATGAGACAAAATAGCATACTCACTGTAGGTCTCTAGCGTACCTCGCAGTAGTGTCTTAACATTCAAGAACTTTATAATAAGCTGCTGGATTTAGCTCAGGACCAGCAAGTGTTGGTCTATGGAGGGTACTTTCCTCAGCGCTTTTCCTTTGCTTTTTTAAATTTCTCTGATGCAGAGATTTTAATGTTCCTAACTAAGAAATTATTGTTTAGAATTCATAAACATTTAATATCGTCTATGCTATGTCAGGTAAAGGAAAACATGTGCATGTGCAGTTACTTCTGTTTAAATTACACATTAATAAAAGGTAGTTTTATCAAAATGGGGAGAAAACAAATGCAAGATGCTAAAGATATCTGTCTTTTTTTTCTTTGGATAGATCACTACTGGTTACAATTTAGAAGATGACCGATGTGAATGTGTAGCACTTCAGGATTTCAAAGCTGGAGAGCAGGTAATATGAACAGTTATCTACACCGTGGTTATTCGGAGAAGTATTGTACAACGTTGCATTGTGTCCCCTGAAGAAGAGGGCGCAAGATAAGTGAACACATTATAATTACCTGCAATTAAAGCCTTTGTATTTTGCAGGTACAGTTAATGGCACTTAATATATGTAAAAATTTAATAGCAAAGTACTGTAGGTGAGGTCTTGCATAGCAGAAGTTTTGTTGTACTTGGTTAATTTTTGACCAAGTTCTAGTAAAACTAAAAAAATTAAATTAGAATAAAATATATCCTATATACATCTGTGAAGAGATCCTCCTTAAGACTCAAGGCCTGGTACAAACATTTAATCACTGGGAGGTGTATACAAATTATTAGACACCAATTGAGACATTTCAAAATGAAATTATTAAAGGACAATACCTCAGTTCCTCAGTTTTCATAACCAGCAGCAGGTTGCAGTACATTTCTTTATTGTTTAACTGGTATGTGTTAGCCTAATGGAGGTGACCAACCTACAGCACACGTGTCACAAGTGGCACAGACAGCCTCTCTGTGTGGTACATGGTAGATCAAGGAAGGGGGCAGACAACTGGCTGTAGTAGATAGGGCAGGGAGCAGAAAGCAGAGCAGCAAAGCAGTCTGGGAGCCAAGGGCAGAAGACAGAGAGCAGAGCATCTGATTAGATGGGAGAAGTGGATCGGTGTGTGCTCAAGGAGGGTACAAGGCTTAATTTGTGACATGCATGCTGAAAAGGTTGGCCCCACTGGCTTAAGACTTATCCAGTTGCCAAATAAGGGGTGGTGTTACCAACCAACATAGGTGACAGAGACCATTTTCCTTCCCAGCAATTAATTGGCCTGTACCATGTTCATCCCAAGAAATATAAAAAACAGAAATATACCTGAAAGTAATTTCCCTGGCCTTGGACTAATTGGTCCACCCATTCAGACTGAAGAACAGTGAATCCAAAGCATTCCCTACAATAGGAAATGTACCTATTGTTGAAAATAATTCTTGAAGAAGTAGAAATAGAAGGAGCTCATTCTGGGGGTTGTCCAGCCAGCACTGGAGAATGGGGCAGGTGCATTGGAGCCCCCTCCCCCACACGCACACAAAGGAGGGGAGGGCTCCAATCCATCCACCTACCCACCCCACTCCAGTGTAGGTTGCGGAAACCCCAGAATGGACCTCTCTCCCCTGCCTTCTTCCCCTCCTATCCTGAGAGAGCACCAGAGCCTGGGAGCCAGGGAATGGAGCTGGGGGAAGAGGCTGAAGAGACGCAGACTCTCTCCCTAGATCAACTCCAAATTGAAGCTTGGTCCTTCACCCTCCGGACCAAACAGCTAACAACTGTTGGGTCAGGAGGATTGGTCTAACTCATGGCTCTTTCTGTGAAGTGGCGTGAGTTAGACTGGGGAGCTGCACTTCTGTTTGTGGCTGTAAGAATGCTGACTTCTGTTTACTCATGGTAATTATACAAGAGTTTCATCTGACATCCAGTATACATTGGAGTTGATCTAACAGACTTTTACACTGGTGTGTTCTGGGTTCAGGGTTCTTTTCCTTTTCCAATATTTTCAGCTATCACAAGCATTTAAATATTGCCATTTAATCTTAGAGGTTTCCCAAGCACTTTAGAGGGCAGTGTGCAGAGTTTTGTTAGCATGTTTATATACTTACAGTAATCTCCCCAATGTACATAGGCAATCCATGCATGTGGGATTATCTGTAATATTTTATGGATTAGGTGCATTAAACTACTAACCATTTACAGCCTGGGGTAGGGAGACATAAAATACTGATTCTCAACCAGGTGTTGCAGCACCTGGAGGTGCCATACCATCCTTTTAAGAGTGCTGAAGGATGCCACGCAACATTAGTACCGTTTCACAGGACAGATTCCGAGATTTAAAAAAGGAATCCATAGCATCAGAAACATTCTGTTCTGGTCCTTTTTGACCTCTTGTGATGTTTCTTTGCTACAGAACTGGTCCTTTATTTTTCTGTAGTCAACAAACAAATGAAAGCTAAGAACTGGCATTTTCTGAGTGCTTTGAGTCTAACAAGGGGTGAGACTCTCTGATGTGAAACTTAACAAAAAAATAATTGCATCATTAGTTGGTTAAGCATTGGAACAGACTACCTAGAGAAGTTATAGGATCTCCATCCCTGGAAATTTGGGTCCTGCCTTGAGCAGGGGGTAGGACTAAATGACCTTATGGCCCCTGAAGCCCTACTTTTCTGTGATCTTATGATTAGTTTTGCTTGGCTTGGGGAAGAACAACATTGAATTCTCATCTTGTAAACTAGGGATAGGTGGAATTACTATTTCAATCTGAAGTTTACATACATGCCTGATGACAGTTTGGATTCTTAATGCATCTTGAGTCTACCTCTAAAAGAAAGTATAGACATGTCTAGAACTTTTATACTTGGGCAATGTTCTTCTAGGTATTTTATAAGAAATAAGACTGGTTTCGGTTTACAATTCCATTATCAAAAGAAAGGATAAATGTCCTGGTGATACAGACTGCAACAGGTAATATAGTGTCTTGCTCTACTGAGAATGTTATATAGCCAGTGCCAGGTAAAAACTCAAAACCGTAACATTTTTTTTCTTTAATTATTTTTAAGCACTTACTTCAGAGTCTTACTGCAGAGTATATTAATTCACATATATTTTTTAAAATAATATATATTACTGAACGTGTT